TTTGTTAAGTTTTACAAAAACACTCTAAAGACTTTGACAAAATACAGTAACAAGAGATATTACACAAAGTATTCACTATTATTAGTCTCTCTAGTTAGTTAGTCTCTCTAAAGAAGTAGAACTAATCTAACAATACATTGTAGTACTATTAAAATACTCTGCTAATGAGTCTGTATGTATACTATAAAGTATAGGTTCTATTTCATTAGGCTTTAATACTCTTAATAGTCATTATAAGCTATAAGAATTAGTTTTGTATAGCAACTCTTTTCTTATAAAATAATAGCATATACAATACTTAAAGCTTTGAACTTTTTTTGCATTGTATCCTTTAGATATAGTTTAATCACTTAGATACCTTAAATATAGATAATATATATTTAAATCTATTATGTCTCTGTTAAAATCAGATAGGAGAATTGAAATATCAGTATCAGTTTAGCAATGAGATATTTTTTTTATATTTTTAATAGGTAATTAGTATTTGTGTAGATTCTTTTAAATTTATATACAGTAGTGAAACTATATTCTTGAAAGATTAAAATCTAGTAGGCTAGTCAATTTTAGAGAAGTATATGAAAAAAAAGAAACTTGAGAACAAATAGTCAGTATATTGAGTGAAATAGTTTCTGTAAAGATACTATCTAAAATAAATCACAGCTCATACTATATGAAATATTCTTTTTTTGTCATACTATAATTTTTTTTAGCAGAGGTCAAACTATAGCTTGCATATGCAATTACTCTTTTATTACTAGTTTTATCCTTTTGGAATAGTATAGCTCCTAATGCTAAGTCAGATGTATTAGTAGCTAACTCAAAAGTCTTAGTTAAGTCTGAGTAAACCAGAATTAGTAAAGTAGTTAGCTTTTTTTTTTAGTTGATCAAATGCTACCTATTGTTAAGTTATCTATCTGTATAGAGCTTACTTCTTTAATAATTTATTTAATAAGGTAGCAATTTTTATAAATTCATAGACAAATTACTAATAATAGGAGACAAGTCCTAAAAAGCTTTGGAGTTGTTGAAAATTGTGTAGGATAAGTAAGTTTTTTATTACTTATATTTTTGCTGAATATATTTCTATTCTGTTTGAGCTAACTATAAACTCTAAAATTTTTAGTCTTTTCTGGCTATAAAAATATTTTTTGAGCTTAAACTTCTGTTCTGCTTCATCTAATCACTAGAATACTTCTTGTAAGTATTTAATATATTTTTCAAATATTTGAGAATAGATGTTAATATTATCTAAATATATTATAATATATTCTCCTATAATATCTTAGAATATAGAATCTATCAGCTGCTAAAAAGTAGTAGAGGTATTTGCTAATCTGAACAGTATTATGTTAAATTCATATAAGCTGTTATAAGTTCTAAAAGCTATTTTTTCTTTATCTTTTTCAGCTGCTTCTATCTACTAATATCACTAGCTAGGTCTAAAAAAGTATACTAATTAGCTCCTTGAAGAGAGTCAATTAGATCATTTACTCTAGATAAGAGGTAATTAATTATCTTTTTTGATAACAGTATTGAATTTGCAATAGTTAATATATATTCAGATCTTTTTTTCTCATTGTTTTACTAATACTACTAGAAATACTTATAGACTTTTGGAATACTAGATTATTCCTGCTTTAAGTATTTGCTTTATTTCTTCTTCTAAGAATTTCTTTTTTTAAAATACATATTTATATTTTCTTTGGTTTATTAGTACTATTTGGTCTGTAATTATTGCATACTTAACTTAGTTTGTTTTTTCTAATTCATTAATATTCTAAGTAAATAGCTAGAATTAGTCTTCTCAATTAACTTATTATCTGTTTTTAATTCTATAGTTTTATCCTCAATAAACTCACTTGTTAGATTATTACTTTCTTTTTTACTTTCTTTATATTCTTGTTTACCTTCAGATTCCTTGAATTCTATAGTTAGTCTTTCAGTATTACTAAGCTATTCATTGTTATTATCAAAAAATTTTTGAATAGCTTCTATAACTTTATCTTTATCTGTTTAGATTCTTCTGAAGTTTCAAAGACATAGTTTTACAACTAGATTACTTTAGGTATACTATTCAAGTTATTCATAAATATTCTTCCTTTCATTATCTCTTCAACTTCTTCTTCTAAATTACTATAATTACTAATTACTTTATAATTATATTAGTAGATGAAATACTCATACTCATTAATGGTCTCTTCAAAAAGTCTATTTGAGAGAGTAATATTCATTTTAATATATCTATAAATTTGATCAACAAGCTTTTTTTCCTCAAACTCATCTTCATTTTTATCATTAAAATTTCTATTATTCTTAGATAAGTTATTTTTTCTTTTTAGATCTTTTATTTTTATTAGTCTTTCTTTTTCTGGGTAATTTCTTACTAACTTCTAAAATTCTATTGGGATGTAATTTCTTTTTTTTTCTAAATAAATATTATTTTTGATAAGAGCTAATCTATTTTAGTATTAACTTTAGAAAGCTAGTTATTGCTTACAATAGCTTGATAGGAATTAGTATCTTTATAACTATATCTATAAGAACTTCTACTTAACTTATAACAAATAGAAAATTAGAAATTTCTCTAATTGCTCTTTTACTTTCACTATATATATTTATTATATTTACTGTGAATAGATGATTTATCTTAATTCCAAGATCTTTAAGCAAGTATAGAAAGATAATACTTCTAGAGAATCTACTATTAATTATAAGAAGTATAATCTTATCATTTACTTTAGTATTACAGTATAGCACTATAGATTTATTAGTAGGCTATAAATTTATATTAGCCTAGACTCATAATTTAACTAGAGTCTTTTTATTTAGTAATCCTTGAGATAATTCAGTTCTTATTACCAGAGCTGTTTTTAAAAGTTAGCCAAAGGTAATATTAGCTAGTTTATTATGAAGGTCAACTATGATGGAGTAAGATAATACTAATGATAATATTTAAGGTAATTCTATTTCTTAGGGTTTTCTTTTTGGAGCAGGTTTCTTTAGTTTTGTCATTAGTTTTGAAGTTTCTTGTTAATTATCTTTTACTTTAATAGCAGAGATAAGATCTTCTTAGTTTTTTTTTAGGCTTTACCATATTTTTATCTTCATCTACTAATACTTGATCTTCTTTTTTTCTATTTTCAGTAGTTAAATTAGATAGCTTATGTAGAGCTTTATTTCAGTTAATTCAAGTTAAAGTAATCAGTCTTTTTCTAATATCTCAAGGTCTAGTACTAAAAAAAGAGGTATCTTCCTTTAGAAGTATTAGGTAGATATATTGATTTTTTGATTTAGTATTTCCTCCTACTCAGTTATCATTACTAATAAGGTTTGTATAGCTTCTTGTTAACAAGTATTATTATTAGTATTATTATTGTTATTATTATTGCTGTTATTAGATTGAGTTTCAGAATTATCTTATCTTAAGAGACTATAACAATTTCAACTGATATGATCTAGTCTCCTATAATTAAAATAGATAATAAAGTTAGTATAATTTTTTGTTAAGTAAGTATAGTTATTCTATAGTTTATCTTATATCTGATTAATTATTTTATTAACTACTTTATTAATTTTTCTATAGCAATATTAGTATTACTTTTAGAAAAGAAAATTACTGAGAATACTATATTAGAGGTAGAAATTATTATTGTAGGAGCTGTAAGAATAAGTTCTGAAAAAGCTAATTACATTAAGTTTATTCTATAAGAGCTCTTAATAACCTAGGCTTATTCATAAGCAGCTTAAAGAATCTGCAGCATAAAAGGTGCTATAGTGATAGATAAATTGAGCCTTAATCTATTTATGAATATCTGAGTTTTTGCTGAATTCTAATAGATATGACCTTCTGCCTCAACTTGTCTAATTAATTCTTCTAAGCTAATATAGTATGAATTAATGCCTTCTTGTAAAAATTGTTTCTTTTGTGCTAATTGAGCAAACTATTTGCTTTCAAAAGCTAAAGTTTGAAATTATATAATAAAAGCTAATTAGAAACTTAAAAATTAGTTTTCTGAGTTATCTTACTAGTTCAGAAGTAGTTGTTAGAATCTTCAAGTGATTCATCAAGTTGCTACAGAGCTTTTTAAATATGAGCCAATAACTAGAATTTTTTAAGTTTCAGTAACTTGGTTTGCCTTAAATACCTTTTTTACATCATCTAATCAAGTTATTAGGTCTTGTTTTCTACTGATAAAATCAGAATACTTGACTTGATTTTGCTCCTAATTTGAATTAATAATATTAATTTAGAGTGCAAAGGTCCAGTGATCTTAGTATAGTGGTTAGGTTGTCAGATCACTATATAAGAGGTTTAGGGTTCAAATCCTACTGTTGATAGAATTAAATAATTATCTAGATATCTGTATTCAACTTACAGTAAACTCTGTTTGTTTCTAGGGATTATAACCTTGTAAATCACATTGTATCAATATCATTTAGATATTGAAAATATGACAGAGTGCTTGAGAAATATAATGTTATACAAATAAATCTTGATAGAATCTATAAACAGAGGATTTGCATAGCAGAAATCCTAAGTTAGATGAAGTAGTATGGATTTCAATGGTCATACCAGTTAATGTTTAATCTGAGAAAAAAAATCTGAATACAAAAAGATTAGTAACTAGAATGCAAGTAAGTTCGTTAAAAAACCTGTATATGAAAAGATCAGCAAAATAGGTACATATAAGTCTATTATACAAAATCATATAGTAATACCAACTTGGCTTGGCAGCTAACTAGATTTGAGAAGATCTGTTACATGTGATATCTGGAGATACAGATGACTTTTGGCAATACCAATTTGGGTAGTAACTAGATTTGGAAGAGCTTATATCATTTGATATCTGGAGGCACAGATGACCAACTTAGTAGAAAGCTATAGTAGAAAACAGGTTTGTACGAACATTAAACAAGGGTATATACAAGCTAAATTAGAATATAGCATAGTATAGTTGAGTACTACAACACCCCATTGATTAGAGAGTTGGTGAAGAGGTACCTTGTAATAGGGTCTAGGCTCTGAATTATAAAGTTTGTAGACTAATATCAGCTCAGGTGTCTTCCAAAAAGAGAAGTAGCATAGAGTTAGATAAACTTTGGTAAAATAAGAATAGAATATGAATAAGTATTATAGGACTAGAGGGTTTAAATAGGTAATCTTCAAATAGATTGCAGATATAGCAGTTAGTGTAGAATCTTCAGGTAGACTACTTAAATTAGACAATCTAAAGTTGTACATATAGCTAGTTGTACTTTCACAATATATATTATTTACTCATTATTAATACTAATAAAGTTTCAGCTGATAGTATTTGTATAAAGTAAAAAAAAAAAAAAAAATTTGGAGTGCAAGAGTAGTCTGTATTTGTTGAATAAGTTGACTAATTTGATTAGCTAAAACATAGATAGAGTTAATTACTATTCTGTTTAAGTTTTTGTTATTACTTTTTATTTGATTTGATTTTTGTTTTTTTTTTTATAGAGTTATTAGTATATTTATATAATCAGCACTAAATATTACTGTTAAGAAAGAGTAATCTCTAATTAATTATTGTAATATATCTAATTTAACTCTAATAGTAGATATAAGAAGAATAGTCTTTTGGTAATTATTCTTTATTATTCTTGTTAACTGTTCTTTACATGATATCTATTCTTAATCTTATTCATTTATTCAATATATGATATTATGAGACTTGAGTTATGATAGTTTTTATAAAGCTTTGCTTCAGTCTCAAAACCTACTGCCTTTACTATTAAAATTACAAGTCGAATCTTAGACAATAAAAAAACAGTAGTCATAGTTATTTATTCCAATATACAAGTTTTATTTAATAAGCAATTTATAAAGAAGGAGTTATTAATGTGTAGTTAATTAGATAAAATAAATATGTTATGAAGTTAAAAACAAATTATGAAATTTGATATCTTTATTAAAAGTAAAATGTGATATCTTATATAAATTCTGTTTAATTAGATGACATCTTGTAGTGTTAAACCAACACTGTACAGTGTTAACTATTTACCACTATGTGGTGTCAAATCAACAAATGATCATCCTATTAATATCTAATTAATATATTGCACTATTTATTTAAGGAATTATTTAAAGATATCGATCCTTAATCTATTTTTATCAGCTATATACAGAATAAAACAAAAAATATATATAATTTTCTAGAATTAATTCGCAGTAAAATCATGACAGAGGTACAAAAACTTAATCAGAGACAATGCAATTAATAAATCAAGATCAGGTGTAATTTAAAATCAAGATTTTAAATAATACACAAGATTTAATCTAATCTTTCGAGTTTACTGTAACAAAATTTAATGTATATCAATCTAGGGTTGTTACATGTAATTTACTGTAACTTATATCATAATTTACAATAACTTACATGATGTATATGTAAATTACAGTAAATTACATATAAATTACAGTAACTTACATGTAAATTACATGTAAATTACATGTAAATTACGGTAACTTACATGTAAATTACATGTAAATTACGGTAACTTACATGTAAATTACATGTAAATTACATAAAAATTACGGTAACTTACACGTAAAGTACATGTAAATTACAGTAACTTACATGTAAATTACATGTAAATTATGGTAACTTACATGTAAATTACATGTAAATTATGGTAACTTACATGTAAATTACATGTAAATTACATAAAAATTACGGTAACTTACACGTAAAGTACATGTAAATTACATGTAAATTACATGTAAATTACGGTAACTTACACGTAAATTACATGTAAATTACATGTAAATTACATGAAATTACGGTAACTTACACGTAAATTACATGTAAATTACAGTAACTTACACGTAAATTACATGAATTACAGTAACTTACACGTAATTTACATGAATTACAGTAACTTACACGTAAATTACATGTAAATTACAGTAACTAACACGTAAATAACATTGTCAGCTAAGTCTTAACCCCTAATCAGATCTTGTGATAATGTAGAATTTTTGGAGGTGTCCTTGGCAGTATTTATTTTCCACTGTACGACTGTGTGCAGCACACTCAATCAAAAATTTTGCGCACATTTTATAAACAGTTTTGGGTATTCCGCTCCAATAAATTTTAAAAGTGTGTATAGTTAATTGGGCGCAAATTGCTATAGTAAACTAATTATGTCTAGTTTTTTTTTTATTTCTGCTCAGAATAAAATTTAAATTGTGCGGTATGTGTAAATTGATTTTAGTTGAAAAATTTACACTGATTATTCGATATATTTGATTTTTGTTTAATGATTAATTTACTCCAATTCATCTGTCGGTAAAAAACATCCGACACAAGAAACCAAAAAAATAAATAAAATAAAATAAAAATAAGAAGTAAAAAATTCAGGTAAAAGATTCAAACTTAAAACGTAACGTTCATAAAATATTTTACTAATGATTTTTTCTAAAATTTAAAATTATCATTATCATAATTACCATTACTATTACCATTAAGTAAACTTACAATTATTAACGTTAATGATTTGTGTCATCCTATTTTGACTATATGTTAATTATAATTACTTAGACAAAATACAACGTCAATACGTTAAATTTAAATTAAAATCATATATACTAAACTCCAAGATATAACCCACAAACTCCAAACAATATTTATTAATCCAGTATTATCATTCAAATTAAAAGTGTGAATATTACCAGATGCCACTAAGATATTATCTTCTGCAGGTAAGGCAGCAGTCACTGGTTGCAACACAATGATAGTACTTGGCGGGTAATAGGTTTGGAACGTCGTTAGCTCGCCATTGATTGAAGTAGTTATAGTTGTTGTATACCCTGGACATACTTGGGTAATAGTTCGTATAAATGTTGTAGTTATGAATTTTGTTATTGTTTTAGAGTTAATTGTTTTATCTGAATTTGAATAAATAGTTTCAATAGTATTTTGATCATTTGTGGTTGTATGCGTAAATGTCTTTCCAGTAGCCGTTTCACTAGTGCTTAAGGATTACAGTAATAATTATATTAATGTTATGGTCGATATTACAAAGAATAGAAATAGATTTAAAAAACTTACTCGATATTGCAATCTTTTGTATTTGCGCACTGATTAATAGTTGTCGTTAATTGAGTTTGTGGTGCGATTATTGGAGTTGCAGATCCTTTAGTCACTGCATTCTTATTAGAAACCAATGGTTTAGGCACCACATATGATGTCATTTTAGGTGTCGTAACAGGTGCTTCTGACGTAACATGAGCGACAGCAGCAGATACGGCAGGTGCTTTTGAAGTAGCAGGTGCTTTTAAAGTAACAGGAACAATAGCGGCAGATGCAACAGGTGCTTTTGAAGTAGCAGGAGCGACAAGTGCCTTTGAAGTAGCAAGTGCGACAGGTGTGTTTGAAGTAGCAGGTGCTTTAGTAGCAGGCGCGGCAGGTGCTTTAGTAGCAGGTGCGGCAGGTGCATTAGTAGCAAGTGCGGCAGGTGCTTTAGTAGCAGGTGCGGCAGGTGCATTAGTAGCAGGTGCGGCAGGTGCTTTAGTAGCAGGTGCGGCAGGTGCTTTAGTAGCAGGTGCGGCAGCTGCTTTAGTAGCAGGTGCGGCAGCTGCTTTAGTAGCAGGTGCGGCAGCTGCTTTAGTTGCAGGTGCGGCAGCTGCTTTAGTTGCAGGTGCGGCAACTGCTTTAGTTGCAGGTGCGGCAGCTGCTTTAGTTGCAGGTGCTTGCGCTATTATCGTCACTGCAAAAATTATTACTAGACATAAAAGGATGATTATGCGAGTTCTGTTAAAATATATGTTATGCGCCATTTTACTAAATAAAAATCTTTTAATTCATTAAACTATATAATTCAAATAACTTCCAAGTGATTCTTTATGATTGCCAATTCTTTATAACTAGCCAATGATTCATGAAAAAATTTTCGTTACAGTCTTACAGTTTTCTAAAAACCCACCGACGTCAGGGCTCATTATAGAGAAAACCGACTGACTATGTTTAAATTTTTATTTGGACTTCTTTATATAGCGACTACAATGATTACACAAAAATTTTACATTATAAAAATGATTCATCAATATCGACTTTTTTGGACTAAATTATAATGATTCTCTCTTGGCACACCCGAATAGTAAGAATTTACGTTAAATGATAAAATGTATCACCTAATAATATAAACCTATGTAGTGTGTCGTTAGACACATTTTGGACATATTATTGAAATTTTTATTAATAAATAACCTACTGTTGAACCTCCCTAAACTGATACTGTCAAAACCGATAACTTGTTAAAATCGATTAAAAATTTTCTATTTTTACTACTGTAAATTCTTTTTAAAACTGATAAGCCTCTCAAAACTGATTAAAATTTGGCTACCAGACATATCGGTTTGGGGAGGGTCAACAGTATTTAAATTTTCTACGTAGGCAAAAAGTTGTTTAAACTTCAACAGAGAAATTATATTGTATAATTTTTATTTCAATTACTAAAATATTTAAAGCTATAGTGTGAGTAGGGAAATGACTGCGACTCGGTCGCTCGACAATACAAAAACTCGCGTAACCAAGGGTAAGTAACCTTTCGAAAGAGGTGTGTTAGATTAGGCTGAGGGATGTTAAGGCTCGGGTTACTTGGGTCACAAGGTTGGTGTCAAACGTCCGGAATGGTTTGGTCACGTGAGCAAGAGGTTAAACGAACAACAAGGTATAATGTAGAACTTAAGGAGTGTGTTAGCGATGCAGTGCTAATGTAATATTATTAGCGATTTATTTAATAAATTTTGGACTTAATTATTTTATGAAGCAAACGAAACTTAATTTTTTCGGGGCAATTAGGCCCTTGTAACTATTGAATTGAGAGAGCGATATATTTTTATAGATAAGAATTTATAATCAAGGGCCAATTTAACCCCAATAGTTTACGGATAGGAGGAAATTTATTAATATTTATAAATATGGAGGAGGTATAATCAATTTATTTAATGATATTAAGGGCGATTGAGATATATTTAATTTAACACTAATAATCTTTAAATTTCTCTTTTAAGGTCGTCTTTCGAATTAAACATGTGACTTTCCGGCGATCAGTTAAATTCGGAACCCGAGTCTTAATAATCCAGTTCGAATTTACAAGTCAATTCGGTTCGCTGAATCGAGTCTCGAATGGATAATTAAATTTAAAGTCGAGTTCGATGGAAACAGTTGATTACTTTTATAAAATTCAGATATATATTTTACTTTGTGTTATTATTATTAGGGAATGTTAAGGCATATAGAACATGCCGTTACTTTATTAGACTTATGTTGCTTATATACATTTAATTTTCTTAGGATGTCTATGTTAAATTTTTAGTGCATACGTTGTAATTTCAACGACTAAGCTATGTTCTTAATGTTTACGCGTTTTTCTTGACATTTGCGTTGAAACTTCCGCGTATGCGTTATGGCTTAATGATCTACTAGGTGCATACATGATAATTTTGATGCACTGACTACAGTTCCTTTCACATGTTCTTGCAATTCCCATTTTTGTATAGTCCATCTAATTCCCGTTTATAAAAAAAAAACAAATAAAGCAAAATAAAAATAATCATAAAATAAAATAAAATAAGGATACGAAATATGCTTTTAGGTTACTATTTTTAGAAATTTTGTTAATACCACTATTCTATTTACTACATATGCCTCCTCTTGTTATTGAGCTCCTGCGAAATTAATCGATTGGAGGACATCACCCATTTCTTGTTGAATGATCGATTGGGCTTCTTCTCTCAACTTAAGGAAGTCTTCTTTATATAGGCGAAGCAACATATAAGGAGTAATATATCATGTCATGAGGAGGTTAGAAGGGCCACAAGCCGTATATAAAAGATAAGTTCGTTGAGCAATAAATAAAGTATCTTGAAATTTGTTTGGTAAAATTCTTTTTACTAATCCTCTTGCTTCTTTATTCCAGGCTTTTTCTTTTTGTAGGACTCCAAGAGAATAATAGTAAGGTAATTGGGCTACTCGATTGACTCAGTCAGCAGAAATCTTTAAACAAATAGAAGATATCTTTTCTTCCCATGTCTCACTACGAGGAGCTTCAATGTGACATGTGGTGTCTTCTTTTCGACGAATATCTTCAAGGAAATTAGGCATCCGATGATGGAGTTTTTGAGCATTACTTTCTCGTTTAGGGTCTTCAATATCTAAGGTCCAGGAATATTGGTTCTGACGATAAATAATAGTATCAGCTGAAATAAGATATTCTCCCTTAATATTGGTTTTTTTTATTTGTTTTCTTAGGACAGCTAGGGTCTTTTGGATTTGAACGGGGGTTTCGATAAAATCCATTTTAGTTTTTGGGAAAGGAGACCCTTCATAGTTCTTATATTAGCATTGGTTGATGTAATTTGGAAGGATTCCAACATTCTGTTGTCTGAAGTAATATCGTTCTAACCGGTTTCCATGCACCTTTTTCTTAAGCACGTGACCGTCCATATTTCTTAATTTATATAATCCATAATCGAATACTTCATGAATATAATAGGGTCCAATATTTATCTTTTCGAGTTTAGCGCGATTTTCCCAATCTGGTTTATAGAATAACACTAGGTCACCAATTTCATATGAATCTAATTTATTTCTTCGATCATGATATTCTTTTTGTTTGGCTTGGACTTGCTTTATTCTAGTTGTGGCTTGTTGACGTACCTCAGTAAGTTCTCCAATTATTTTTTCTAAGCGTCACATTATCTGGTCCTGGAGTTCTTCCTCACTTCCGGGCCTCATGGAATAAGTAATGAAGTCCACTTCGATTGGGAGGATGGCATTTTGTCCGTATAATAAGAAAAAGGGCTCATATCCAGTAGTACTATATCTAGTTGTCCGATAAGCAAAAAGGGTGGCTTCTAAATATTCGTCCCATTCATTTTTAAACTGGTTAACACATTTATGTAGGACGGTACAAAGGGTTCGATTAAACCGCTCAACCAAACTATTGGTTTGAGGGTGGTATGCCGTTGATGTATGGTGAGTAGTGTTCATTTTATTACAAAGGGCTTTTACTAGGCAGTTACAAAAATGGGTACCTTGGTACGATAACAATTCCTTAGGACTCCCGTGTCTGCAAATTAGATTTTCAAAAATAAAATTGGCAACAGATTTAGCGTCAGCTCTTTCGAGGGCTTTGGCTTCAGGCCATTTTGTAAGATATTCTGTTGCTACGACTAGATATTTCTTATTCTTAGAGGTAACGGGAAGAGGTCTAATAATGTTAATTCCAACTCGGTCGAAGGATCTTCCTATTTTGATCGGATATAAGGGTTCTTTGGTCTTGGGTCTTTTCTTCCGTTAGCATATATTACAAGTGCGGACGTATTCTTTAATATCATCGCCCATTTTTGGCCAATAATACCAGATGGCGATACGTTGATAAGTAGAATAATAATTAAAATGCCCTGCTAAAGAGTCATCATGTAGACTAAAGAGGATAGCTTGGATTTCACTTTTCTGTAGAATTCTCAGGGGTCGCGAAGGATCCTTTCGATTGTTTTTGTATAATAATCCTTCTAGTACTAAATAATAACGGGTCTGATATTTTAATTGTTTCTCAGTAAAATTAAAGGGTATAATTGCTTCGTTGAGATATCTTAGGTAGGCATTATAAATTTCTGGTTCCATTGTTATTATCTTATAATTTAAAGTTTCGCCAGGACACCGGCAACCTGGTCTGGATTTTCGTTTAGCTGGATTTTTTTTTTTTTTTTTTTTTTTTTTTTTTTTTTTTTTTTTTTTTTTTTGTTTTTTTTTTTTTTTTTTTTTTTTTTT